TCGTCGGCGAAAATGAAGCAACTCGGCTCAAGATAATTTTAATTTTCAGCCATCAGAAGAATTTACGCTTTAGTGCTCTTCATTTCCTAGATATCAACAGAGTTGTTTTTGTCAGCTTGTAAACTAAACATTAATTTTTCAAAAAAAAGATTGTCGGTTGTCCGCAAAAAAAGTTCCCTCCACTTAGTTTTTTGAACACCAAATCCATTTTTTGATGCCAGAGTCTCAAAAAATTTTTCACAGAACAAACTGAGGTCCGGCTACCACTGCAAGAAATGTGTTTTTAGCGAAAAATTGCAGCATTTGAGTTGATTTTTACAAGGAGTTTTGAAGAATTGCTTACGATATTTGATCAGGTAAACGGTCAACATATCAAGAAGGCAGCCATGAGAACGAACGGATCGCATGGACCATCTGGCCTCGATGAAAATCAATTGAGACGTATTTTAACACACTTCGGGCAACAATCAGTTGAAATTTCAAAAACAATTGCTAAAGTTGCCAAAAAATTGGCCACAGAAGAACTAAATCCAGAACTAATGGAACCATATAACGAATGCAGATTAATACCCTTAGATATGAATCCAGGGGTAAGACCCATAGGCATAGGAGAAGTTATGCGTAGGATAATAGGGCGAACAATAACTAAATGCCTAAAAAACGAACTCATGTCGCTCGGTTCAAACTACCAACTCTGCCTAGGACAAAAATGAGGCATTGAATATGCGATCCACACGCTAAGAGATCAATATAGCAAAACTTCCGCCGATGCTGTTTTACTGATAGATGCCGAAAACGCTTGCAACTCGCTGAACCGAAAGCTGGCATTAAAATACATCGAAAATACCTGCCCTTCCCTTGTAACAGCGATTAGGATCTCCTACTCCAATCCATCTAAACTATTCGTTAACAAAAAAAAAACAATCTACTCTCAAGAAGGGACAACCCAGTAAGTTTTTCGGCTACCACGTGAAAGCATCGAAATGCCAACTCATTGTCAAGGATGAAAAACTCGGTGAAGCTCAGAAAATCTTCGCAAATACAGGAATCACTATAAAGGCAGGAGACCGAGTGCTTGGTTCAGTTATAGGAACAGAATCTGAATGTAAAAAGTTCCTCGAACTTCAACAAAAATAGCAAACCAAAATTTTGAAAAAACTAACGAAAATCGCTGAAACCTCCCCTCAAAACGTTTATGCCTGCTATACTAAAAGAGTTCAAGAAAAGCTTTCATTTCTTGCCAGGACAACGCCTAACACTATGGAAAACTTAGAAATATGTGAAAATAATATCAAAGAACAATTATTACCTAACCTAGTCGGTAAAGACTCTTTAAACCCCCAGTTCCGTGAGATATCTTCCTTACCCCTTAAAATGGGCGGACTTAACATCAAGCTGCCATCCGATCATGAAAGCTACCTAGTATGGTCTAAGGAAACATCACTAGTACTGGAATCTCAAGATCCTATTACAGCAGTAACACAGCAAGAAAAAATAAGTACGAAAATCAAAAAAGTGAAAACTGATAAAACGAATCGAAAAAAACAAACCTCATTCACTCCTTAAATGAAACAGATAAATACGCAATCGACCTGGCCTCTGAAAAGGGAGCCTCTAACTGGCTCAATGCTCTACCACTGAGCAGATACAACTTCAACCTGAATAAATCAGAGTTCAGAGATGGTATTTACATAGGATACGGATGGGAACCAACCAAAACCCCACTCACATGTGCTTGTGGTGCTGATTTTAAATTGACACATGCGCTTCACTGTGCAAAGGGTGGTTACACACACATAAGACACAATGAAATTAGAGACATATTCGCCCACCTCATGAACGAGGTTTGCCATGACGTCGAGATTGAGCCGAAACTACAGCCGTTGCAAGGCGAAAGCTTTGTCAACAATTCAACTACAACTGAAGATGAGGCACGACTTGACATTAAGGCAAACGGACTCTGGGGTTCACGATTCAGCCGCGTTTTCTTTGATGTGAAAATTTTCAACCCCCATGCCAAAACATCGCGAAAACTGCATAAGGATGCATACAAATACCACGAAACGCTGAAGAACTCCAAATATCAGCAAAGAATTTTTAACGTAGAGCAGGGTAGCTTCTGCCCGCTAATTTTTGGATGCACCGATGCCGCTGCTCCAACAGCCACGCGGACGATGCAGCGATTGGCCGAAAAACTAAGTGAAAAAAGACTAGAAAGCTATCCAGAATCTATAAACTACATAAGAACTAAAATAAGCTTCGCGCTCCTGAGGAGCTCAATTATTTGTATAAGGGGGTGCAGATCGCTACGCTTTGTATAAGGGGGTGCAGAATTTATCGACAACTCCATAAGCGCTATTGTAGAGGAAGGACGGCTAAGATAAATTAATATTACGACGATGCAATTAATGCTGATTTATGACTTCATTGCTGATATATATGCATTTTTATATCGCTGGTATGGCCCTATCCAGCGTGTGCACTTACTGTAACTAAACGGAAGGGCCCCTTTTGTAATTTAGTTTTTTTTTTTAAAAACTATTTTTAGGCAAATCGCTTGTTTTTTTTTGTCGTTAGGTACTTGCTAACTTTCAGCGAAATCTGTTGAAATTTGGCCTTTTTAAAGCATTTTCAAGGTTTCGGAGAACCTTGTTAAGTTATAGCTAAATCCATTGATTTTTGTTTTTTACCAGCATTTTTAAGGTTTCTGAAGTACTTGCTCAGTTTGAACGAAATCTGTTGTTTTTTGGTCTTTTTAGATCATTCTCAAAGTTTCTGAGGTACTTGCTAAGGTTCAGCTTATCTTACGTCACAGATACATATTTAGTTGCCCGAAACTTGTTCTGAAAAGCCAAACACCACGTTGTCGATTAAAAAGGCTTCTTACAAAAAGGCTTAATACCAATAGACGTCATATCGAGACACGTATTTCTGTATTTGATCACCCAAAAACATCTCAAAACTGATGTACCCAATCTCTTTATAACTTTCTTGAACAACTCGTATAATCGCATCAACTCGTGTAGGAAATTTTTTTTGTTATTTTTTAAATTGTCGGTTGTGCAATATGTAAATTTTCTCAAGCAAATTAAAGTCTTTTACTGCTTCCACTACATATCAGGTCAAATCAAATAGTCAAATACTGAAATGCTGATTTGCAATTCCAATTTTTGAGAAAGTTAATTAATTGATTTTGCGTGGAAAACAAAAAACTGAAACAAACCCGATGACAAACTTCAATGGTCAAAGAAATAGTGTGGTTTGATTTTAAAGTACCGCTTTCAGAATTGAACATCAAGATAAAGAAGACTTGGCTTAAGAGAATTTATTTTTTTAGCCATGAGATTTTTCTATTTCTTTTTCTATGGTAATCAGAAGGTCAAAAGTATCATAGTAACCGAGGTTACAGTCATGAGTCCCTTCATCATGTATTCCAGTCAAAATCCTTGGAATTTTCTAGACATGGAAATGATAATGATAAAAGAAGATGTCAAGTGTTTAAGTCCTTTTCATTTAAAATCGGACTTTTTAAACCATGAGAAGAATTTAAACCATGAGAAGAATTTACGCTTTGGTGCTCTCAATTTCGTAGATTTCAACTGTTAATGTAGAGCATGTCTACTATTTTTAGGTAAATAACTTGTTTTTTTTTGTGTTTTTAGGTACCTGCTAACTTTCAGCGAAATCCGTTGAATTTTGGCCTTTTTAGAGCACTTTCAAGGTTTCGGAGGTGTAGAGCATGTCAACCAGTCTTTAATATTTCAAAGAAGGATAGTCCGTTGTGGGCACAAAATGTTCTTGCACTCAGTTTCTCAAATACCATTTTACTATAGATTTTTTTTAAATGTACAAAAGTTTTAGTTTTTCACAGTTTTAAGTTATCCGATTGTGTGTCAAATTTTCTTCGGTAGTAAGAGAAACCGATTTGTTCAATGAGGTATAAGACCCTCTTGTAAAAAGATGAAATTTTAATAAATGTTAGAATAATTAGATTTGAATTTTTTTATAGAATCCGAATTATAGCTGAAACGACTTTAATATGATACTTTACTTAATATGATACTTCACTTGAGCCCATACGAGTTGTCTTTGAGATGATCGAAATAGGCTGAAAAAAAAAACGAACCCTACGCCAAAATCACTTCCCAATTCGCAGTGGTCGGTACATTAGAAACGTGGAAATGAGTTTTTTCTTCGTAGGTGTCCTTCGAGGTTTTGTTTTGTGATATATTTTTACGCAAGAAGGGGTATATTAAAAGTGTGCGTTCTAAATTAGCAGCAAAATTAATCTGAAATCTTAACTTTATTGTCTGTTTTTTTTTCATGTCACTACATTCAGACAGCGCTAAGATGGACATCTAGAAACTTTATAGCTAGCAAAGCTTCGTTACTTATTGTTCCGACCTTTTAAAAAATGGGGAGGAACTTAGTATTCGGGTGTGTTTCAGTTTTTTTACTTTCTACGCAAATTCAGCTACCGCAAATAATCATCAGAGAGAGTTGAGTGATATATCGTGATTCGTTTTAAAATTTCAAAAAAATCATAGTAAATCGAGAAAAGCCTGTTTGAAGTTTTTTGATTTTTCGTCTCTTAAAAGCTTACAATGGCTTAATTAAAAATGTAAAAATTTAGTTTTACTCGAGTAACGTTAGTTTTTTTGAGTATTTTAGCGCCTTTTTGCAATCAAAAACTTCAAAAAAGTTTTTCTATTTGCTTATGTTACTATGGCTGTCGAATATGCCTAATCTCTAGTTTTTCGTTCAGCTCCTTTTATCACACCACGCTCAAAATAACGACACTAATTTGAAAAAAAATTTTGTTGTCTTTTTCTACGACTATGGTCGGAAGATTACAGGCTACTTGCACCGTAACCAGCTTTCCTTGTTTCACGCGTATTTATGGCTTTCGATTATCAGAATTTCGGAGCATTGATTGAACATGACAGATTGAGAAGGGTTAATTGAATGTTTCGAATGAAAGTTTATTCAATTTTTAGATATCGTTGACTAACAATAACTAACTGGCTCATAGCGGACTTAATAGACCAAAGGGTTTGTACATGCTGCAAAACAGATGAAGGCGAAGCTATCGAGGTCAAGACCGTGTATCTGCAAAGTAAGACAATACATAGTAAACACAAAATGCAGTCAACTTGAAAGAATGACTCTTCTATCTAGCCGCTTTTAGAATGGTAAATTAAGTAGCTGGTTGTTGTGAAAAGTACTGATCAGTTTACGACCATTGTTTTTACTATGGCAGTTATTGACCAGCAGTTTGTGCAGTTTCTCAAGACTCGACCTGCTCAAAGAACAGATTTGGAGCTGCGCTACATTTGCTACTGTCTGCAAACTTTACAGCCAGTTCGAAATGTGAGTCACGCTGCGCTGAATGCTCTGAGTAGGACAGTGTATTACGATTACCGTGACCAGGGCACGAATGTGTACAACGCTAAAGATGTGGCAACTTGCTGGTTCATTCTGCTAAGTGGAACTGTTTACGTCCAGACACCGGAAGGTTTCCAGACGTTCAAACCCAATGACTCTTTTGGAACTGAAGTTACAGAAGATGGACGTAGAGGGTACGCTTGTTATGCTCTTGAGTTCTCAGAATTTATTGTCATCGATTTTCCGAATAAAAATATCTGCCCATATACTAGCGCGGAAACGGTTGCCTCAAAGATCAGGGCTAAAGGGTATGCAGCCCCAGCTTCAAGTCATCAATACTCGTACCTATCTCAATCACAAGTGTACGCCAGCAAAATTGGCTCAGAATCTATAGCCAGTCAGCTCTCGCAAAATCATTCGCAAGGTGTGTACGAACAAGCTAAAGCCTGTAACGCAGGTGCTTATCTAAACTTGGAGCTAGTTACGCCTAGAAACAAACCACCTTTGCCACCACATAGACCCAGGCCAAATTCATACAACAACAGACTTTCAATGTCATCAAATGGCAGCTCTTTTCAAACATCAGATGGCGAGTCTCTGGGATCGAACCCGAAATTAGACGACTACCATGTATATAGTCATGTGAGTAAACCCATGGAGCCTGTGTATTATTGCTCGCCGCCTGAAGAGGAATTATACGCTGAGATTCATTATTACGACGCATGTTTTGACGAACTGAAGATCCTTAAAAAGTCTCCTGTTGACCGAAGTTTTGATGACGTGAAACTTCTTGCTGATTTTTTACAGCATTTCAGTGCCTTTTCTAGCATGAGTTTCGAAATGAGATTAGACTTTTCATATGTTATGAAATATGCACACGTTGAGGACAAAAATAAAGTCATTTTGGCAAGCGGGGAGAAGTTGGACTCGTGGTGTGTTGTGATTAACGGTCAGTGTGTTAATATAAAAGAAGATGGGTCTAGAAAAGTCTTCACTACGGGTCAGTTTTTTGGGCTGGATAGAAAACAACCGACTCCTCAATTTCACATGGGAACTATGGTAACGTTAGAGCGTGATTGCCAGTTTGTCGCAATTCCAGAGAAAGATTTCTTTGAAGTGGTCCAGAAACATAGTCAGTATGAAAGAATTTTGTGCGATGGAAGTAACAGACCTGTGTTAGTAACAGAAGCACGTGATTTGACAAATTACAAGATCGAAGTCGAAAATTTAGTTGTGAAAATGGGGGAACCTACTAGACTGGTATCCCATTTAGTTGAAGATCACTCGGCCTCAGAAACGTCTTATGTCGAAGACTTCTTATTGACTTACAGGACTTTTATTAAAGATCCAACGTACGTGTCTGAGAAACTTGAAAAGTGGTTTAATGATCAGAGTTCAACATGCATGCGAGATCGAATCGTTCGAGTTGTTTTCTGCTGGGTAGCTAACCATTACATTGATTTCGAAGCCAGTTCAAGTCTAAGTTTCTTTCTAGAAAAATTCTACGACAAACTGCAAACAGAAGGTAAAACAAAAGAGGGTTCAAATTTGGTCAAAATATGCGGTAAAAAGGGGAAAATGAGAAAAGTCGAGCTTGATTCAGTTATGAGGCGGGACGAACTACCATTTAATCTTATGACTCCGTTCGGCGGCAAAGGAGCGTACATCAAAACGTTCAAACAAAAGGTCGAAGGTCTGAAAGTAGGGGATCACGTGATTGCAGTTAATAACAAAAACGTCGAGAACCTTTCATTCAAAGAGGCGATAAGTATTATTGCTTCACAGGAATATTGTTGGTTAACAGTCAAGCATCATGTTTTGGGAATGAAACGAAGCACAAGTAAGCAAAACTCACATCCAAGTGATTCGATTGACGGAGGAAAAACTTCTGGTTTTTTAACTGGATCGCGAGATTTACTTGGCAAAAATGAATCAAGCTGTGTTCCAGTTATTAATAAAGGAAGCGACCCCTCGGAGCAGTCAAAAAATTCCAGGCGTCTGGAAAGGTCTAAGCTAAAAAGACGCTTCCCATTCTTTCCTCCAAACCCATTAACTAAGATGCTTAATAATTCAACCAGTAATCCTGATGTTTCAAATTTGAACGGTTCCATAAAAATTGACGAGGCTTCTGACTTCGCGCTGAAAATTTACACAGCTGAGCAGCAGTATAAGTACCTAAGTTTTTCAGAGCTGACATCAATTCGACATATTGTCAATAAAGCTGTGGATGCATTTGAGTTACATAATGCGAACGATTATGTTTTATGCCATGTTGAGGTTTCGACTACAGGAATGGTCAAGCAAACACGCCTCGCAGAACAGCATAAAGATATTATCGACAGAATCAGACCTGCTAGTAGATTTTATGTTAAACCTGTAAATTTATCCGAAAGATTACTGCCTCAAGAATCAATATCTGAGCTTCAAAAAGAGGCGAAAGTACAATTTTTAGAGCTTAAACCTCTAGAACTTGCAATACAATTGACGTTGCGAGACTTAGCCGTTGTACAGAAAATATTGCCGCATCAATATGTAGAAATGCTATGGAAGCTACCCCCGAAAGATCTGAAGTATCAAAGCTACACCACAATTGATGATTTTACAGATTTGTCTAACAAAGAAATGTTCTGGGTTATTCACACAATATGCAGTGAAAAAAGTCTTAGTAAACGGGCTAAAGTGGTGAAACAGTTTATAAAAATAGCAAAGTTCTGCCGAGAATTGCGAAATTTCAACTCAATGTTTGCAATTTTGAGTGGGTTAGGACATAACTGTGTTTCAAGACTAGACTTTACTTTAGAGAAAGTCCCTTCAAGAGAAGCAAAATTAAAGTCAGTCCTAGACGAAGTCTTAGACCCTTCACGTAACATGGCCAAATATAGAAACCTACTTACTGCTTACAAAGGTTCGACCCCTGTTATACCGATATACCCCATTTTAATCAAAGATCTTACCGTTTTCCATTTGGGAAACGAATCTAAAATTGATGATCTGATTAATTTTGAAAAGCTTAGACTGATTAGCAAAGAAATCAAATGCTTTTATACGTCCATTTCGTCCAATCCGGATCGAGATTTTTTGAAGTCTTTAGTTACGAAACCAAGTAAAGTAATTGCTAATGCAGAGCAGAACGGACTAACAAGTCACGAGAGAGAAAATTCAAGATCTGTAACCGATGTTAGCATGCAAGCACCTATGGCTCAAAGAAACGGAATTCTCCACAAGTCGCGAAAATCATTACTTCTGGGAAGCAATAACCCGAAGCGAATTTACGAAGAAATTCTCATGTGCAAAAGGGTTGAGCAGTATATCAAAAACCTATCAGTCATATCGGATGAAGAACTGCTTCGTAACATGTCGGTTGAGTGTGAGCCGGATGATTATGAATCTGAAGTAGAATCGATGCCAACGCCGGCTCCTCTGCCAAAAGCTTCTGTGGACAACCAAAAAAGTGAAGAAACTACTTCAACGTTTTCGGACAATATTTCAATCAGATCGCAAGAAGTCTCAAAAAATCACTACGATATCGTGTCGTCGGACGGTGATAGCATAATGTCGGATCCTTGTAAGAAGAATAATGTAAATGATGTAAGTAAGAAGAACATGTCAAAATCAAACGCTGATTTGGTTCTAAACGTTCAAATAGAAGATACATCGCCTCGCATATCATTCGTGGGTCCCTATCATCATCAGACATTCCGAAATCCCCTCCAATGTGCAGTCCCAAGTCCAAATGAGTTGCAGTTCGAAAGGATGTCTGTAGCTTCCAGTTCCAGTCCTGGATCCAAACTGGCTGCAGTGACGCAGCTGAATTCGACGTCACGGGACTCATTAAGTTCGGCTTCTTCGTCCAGTTCAAGGTCGAAATCGACTTCAAGAGTCGATGACAGGACGATGAGGATCCCAGCGACTCCCTCATTTGCTACTAACAAACAGATTCCAGTAAAACATTCCGCAACTAGCAGTTCGTCCCCTCCTATTCAAAACAACCTAGTTATGCCTAATAGAGGTAGTTTCAACCTTGAGACGTCCCAGAAATCAAACTTTGTCTACCAGTCTTATCCACAGCCGACTGTTGGATTAGGCAACCACGGATCCAAGTCGATGGCTCAGATAAGCTATGCGAGAAGTATGAGTTTACTCGGACCACCACCGGCTGGTAGCAAACCAAGTGCTATTTTCAACCCCGCCACTGCGCTTCCCCCAAAACTCGTTTTGTCATCTGATGGTGCGCTGAGACCTAATATAAAATCCATGTCGAATGATAGAGATCTTAATTTGTAGATGATAGTATCTTTGAGCTTAAATATTTCAAATTTCCTTATCTTTTTTGAAAATATTTCAATTAGCTTAGCTTCCTTTCATATCATTTGTCTTGAATTTTCTATTCAAAAATAATTTAGTGTTCATCAATTCGAAGTTTAATGCTGATCAGTGATAGATTATGCAGGCCAAAGCGAAAGAAGGCAAGAATTACCTCTGTAACTTTTTTCCTCCGTTCGACAAAAAGAATCTGAACGGCTGGCCATGTTTCTGGAACTTTCTTGCTTTAATTCAGTTGTTGGGTTTTAGACACGCTCGGATAGTGTACAGAAAGGCAGAAGTATAAAACTTGAAGTGGTCGATAAAAATCTGTCTGATAATTATGAAGTTTTCGGCTTAGAGGTCGTCTACCTAAATTTTGTCAGCATAATTGCCGCAGCTTTTTGTTTTTTTTTCTGATTTTTGTCGATGGGTGCAATGCTAATGTAATTTATTTTCTTCAGCCACCACTACTTAAAAACAAAGAATGATAGATTTTTCTTCTTTGTGGAAAGTCTAAAAAGGTTGGCTTATTCTCTCATTACAAGCTTCGCAAAGCGTGATTTTAATTTCTTGTTCCGACTATTGAAAATGGGAAGGAAATTTGTATTTTGGTGTGTGGTTTAGTTTTTTTGTTTTGTACGCAAAATTAGTTGCCACAAGTAATCATCAGAATGAGAACTTGATATATCATATTAAAGTTTTTTCAGTCATGATTCGAATGATTTTTACAAGTTTTGAAATGATTGTCTCAGTGTCGGGGGAAAACCGGTTTGAAATTTTTGAGTTTAAGTCTTATTCCGAGTGGGTGAGTATCGTTCGTTACATATAAAAATCGGTCATTTAGGCTAAGAATTTTTAAATTTCCTAAAAGGAGAACTAGTTTTAGCGCTTCATTGGTAATGAAGTTCTACTGCATTTTTCTTGAGCGGCCTGCTGTTTTTATCTTATTTTCATGGCGCAGAATAGTGAAGTCATAAGTGTATTTGCTTTTTTTTGGTATTTTTTAAATAAATTGTTTTGTTAATTGATTTTTTTTGTTTTAAGTGCTTTTTAGCCTATATATATATTTGTAGAACGCTATTTTCTCTAAGCAAGAGACGAAGTTCTAGGAGGCTATAAGTGCTATCAGATCAAAAATTATTTTTATTCAAATGTTTCTCGTACTTTTTAGAATTTGTTGTCGAAAAGAACAAATTTAGTTATTTTTTTCTGTTTGTTTCTAGAACACTGAATGTTTTCCTCTCGCTCTGCATATTTTTTTTTAATTGCGATTTTTCGACAACAATCCCACGTTTGGGTTATTTATGACCATTTATCCTGGTTTTGTCTGCATATTTACCGCTTGGTAAATTTTTATGATAGTTCAATGCTGGCTGTTGTGTTCCGCCTAAAATTTTCATCAAAATAAGTGCCATTTTGAGAATACATATGAAATTTCTGGGTGTTGTTTTGTGGCGTTTTTTTTTTAATTCAAGAAGTGTTTAACGATTCTTGGCCTTCTTTAATACAAGTGGTGCGAAGCTTAGCTTCGCCTCTGTATTAATTTGTAAGTCTTTGTTTAAAGATAAATTTTGTCGATTCGCTAACTTAATTTGCGTTTTAATAGTTGTTTTAGCACACCATGCACAAAAAATCACACTAATTGAAGAAAAAAAACTTTTTTTTTGCAGTTTTCTATGAATGTGGTCGGAGCTTTGCTTAAAATTTTTAGATTTTTCTGTTCATTTTTAACGTGGTTTTTTTTTTATTTCATTGACATAACGGGGTTTCCGTTTAATTTTACCCTTGCAATAATCTTAATTTATTTTTTCATCCAGATTTTGAAGTGCTGACATAATGCCTAAAATTGGAAAACAATTCTAATGTTTGTAATGAGTTTTTTAATAGGGCGCGATGATTTTTGAAGAGCGCGCAGTTCTATAGGGCGCGATGATTTTTTTCTTAAATTTTGTTCACTTTCAAATTTGATTTTTCGCGGTTTGAATTTTGATTTCTTTTCAACTTTAATTTTTTCTAAAAATTTTTTTTTCCTTTGTTAAAATGAAAGTAAGCTCAGCTATCGAACAGCAAAAAAGTAAAGGTCACGAAAGACGTGATCGATTTTAATTTTGAAAGTGGATTTTCATTTTCAGATGTCCCAGTGGAGAAAAAACTTGACCTTTAATCGAAAACTGTCAATTATCAATCATTCTAGAAATTCAAAAGAGTTTTAAGGCGATATATTTTTATAATTTGAAAATCAAACGTTTTTTTATTACATGCGTTCATTGACTATTTTCCAACTGTCTTGTTGACTAAGTTTCTAGTTTTTGAGATTTTTGTCATGTTTTCCAGAATCAATTTGTTTTGAAAAGTTTTGATAGTTTTTTTGCTGTCAACAGAAATTTGTTGAATAATCTTGTTTGGTCTAGCATGTTGTTTAATTGAACAATTTTCAAGATTGTTGCTTTTTGTATACTTTGAAGCTGGCAATGTATACATTTGGGTCATGAGTGTTCGCAAGGGAACTGAAGCTCCGCTTCGTCTGCGTTACAAATAAAAACTCCTGGTATATTTTTTGTATGACCAAAAGTTTGCTCAATTTTTGTCCTTTTTTATACTTTAATACTTTTTATCATCAATAGTTTCTAAACTTTGTTGCTGATTGATTTTAAGCAGCATTTCACTTATATATAATTTTTGTAATTTTATAGAAAGTGGGTCATGTTATTTTCCGATTTTTTCATGGAAGTTATTTTGGCTTCGTTGCGTCTTATACTCGCTGCAGAAAAAGTCATAGATATACCAGCTTAGGAGTAGCTCTGGCGACCACGAGCGGGTTACATAACTAACTGAAATAGCAAAGCTAGATATATCAAAAGTCCCTGACTGCATAAATCACCACTCTCTGATAGACAACTTCAAAATATCCTTTCTTATTTCAATCTGCCGCTGACTGTGTGTCTACCTGAGTAGGCCCTTTAAAACTGCGCGGAAAGACCACTCTCTAAAGCTAAGATAAAAAAACGTAGTGGATTATCTCAGAAATCAGTTATCTCCTTTCACAATCTTTAATTTTATGAATCTTGAACCCTTGAACCTCACCCTAATGCATTCGAACTTAATAGTTAGGAGTCTTTTCTCAAATACTCCAAAAGTTGCGAACTTTAAGCTAAAAGGCAATTAAAGAATAAATGATGAGACCTTCGCCTAAAACACGATAGACAGATATGGTCACTTACAGAAATACCAACTATTATTCAAAAATCAATGTGTGCAAAATTCAACTCCCGGAGTAACTGAATGTACGAAAATAGACTTTTTTCACGTTGACTATTAAAACATACAGGCAGGTGGAAAAAAGTCAATGAACGCAAGGAAACAAAAACAAACTATCTTGTTTCTGAAAAAAACTCGAAGTAAAAATATATTAACCCTCATTGAATTGATAAATCTGGATCTATAGGTAATTTTTTGTTTAACCGGAAAATCTAAAAATTAAATTCCGCTTCAAATAAATCAGAAAGTGCATAAATACCTTATTGATATGTATGATTGCACATCTGTAGTTAAGAGCATTTTCAAACTTTTTCTGAAAAAAAATCAGAAAAAACTATATAAGAGTCTTCACTACGTTCATTACTCTTAATAAAATTAAGTCGCAGCTCGCACATTTTATAAGAAAGGAACAAACACATTGGCTTAATCTACTGACTTAATTCCATTGCTCTGTATGACTGACTGAACATGCAGTCATGCTCTTTCAAGTTGGCACTAAGTGGCCTTGAAAATAATAGTAGCAGTGTGACAATTTATAATATCAAGGTCACTTCAACCGCATTACCACAAGGGACAGTCAGAACCTTCAGGCTTTGCCCTGATATACGAGCAATATTGTTTACAGTTTTGTATCGTAATAATTACACCAAATTGCACATTGAAAAAAACTTCCCGTGATTTTTATAACTGTCTTCACTGCGTTCATAGACTTATAATAATACCAACAAAGAAACACACGTTATCAATTCATGCTTGGTCGGATAATATCATATTTTTTAACTGCCACACTATCATTCCAATTTTTTTCGGTTTCTTGTGTTGATTTCTTTATTCCAGCGTCGTGTGCTCTAGATGCTATTCCAGCATCGTGTGATCCTGGTTTCTCTATTTTCCAGCGTCGTGTGGTCTAGATGCTACCCAGCCAAAGTAGCAGAAATGGCATTTTTTCTGGCGGAGAAAATTATTGGGAGAGTCCCTCAACTTCGGAACAAGGCTGACCAATTGAGGCAAAAAAAATCATGAACCTTAAAATATGGCTTTAAGTGTTTTAATTTGATGCAAATTACAACTTTGTTCCGTTTTAAATAGAGCTTTGCGGATCTTTTATAAACAGAATATTTTTTGAATGTTTGATTATAAATATTATGATAGTTTTTGGTCGGGTTAGTGGTCGGTCTTGGAGCGGATTTTTACCTCCTTAAGGCCACTCTATCTCCTTAAGACATAAGTTTTATGAAACTCTCAGAAATTTTGCGAAAAGATTTTAAGAAGCATTTTCAGCGTTTTGAAAAAATTGAGTTTTTGACAATATTCCAGCGTCGCAAGTCATGTGAAGCTTGGCTCATCAAAGATAGACCATTATTGGCAAATAAATAGAAAAAAATTAGGAAGTATCTACACTTTTCTGGATTGTTCCATTCTGAAACTGTTTTATTGTGGTTTCTGGGATTCGCAGAGGATCTATGAAAGGCTATCTAACTTGTCTAAGCATAGTCCGTTTCTCTTATTTCCCCGCATTCCAGATTGAATTATTTTGTTGAGCTAAGTTTTTTTTGCGACTAACTTTCAGGTGGTATCACTACTGCAGCCATCAGTCAGGCTGTGCTAGACCTGAAGCTAGAGGTAAAGTGAGAGCTCGTCCTCACACACTATTTTCGCCATGGCATGGGGTCGATTACACGATCTGACGATCTTGAAGTGAACACCTGACCACTATGCTAAGTGCCTCTAAATAAGTTCACATTCTAGAAACTTGTGCTTTACGTTAATTTGAAATATTCAAATTTTTTTGCGAAAATATTTAAAAAAGCATTTTCAAAACGTTTTGGAAGATTTCGACAATCGACAATAAAACTGAGTATTTCTGCTCAAGCTTCCTGTCAAAATTAGTCCTTATTCGCATCACAGCATTTTTAGAAAATTTTTGAACTCGAGCGGCCATAAAAAATTACAAAAAGGTGCTTTGCGTTGGTGAATGTGTAGTACTCCGGGAGAAAATTTTTACGCCGCTTCCCCCGATATTTGCTCTTAGTTTTGAAGAAGAATCAAATAGCTCAAAATTCGTGAATGAAAAATGTTATTTGCTATGCTGTTTTCAAAAAATTGCTGCTCCAAACTGATGTTTATACCTTTTCCACGAGAGAAAATTTCGATGATCTTAGTAAACTTTTCTGCCTAACAAACGTCGTTTTCTGCTCTTTTCTTGTGATTTTTTTTCGCAGTGCAGTCTTAGAATTGTTAGCTAATACTTCAATTTAAAAGTTACTTTTTTATATCAAAGTTTTAGTTTTGGGCTGTTTGTGCTTCTGTCTGTAACATCTGTTATTTCTGTCAATTGTGGCCTACCCGGAGTGGGGTCAATCGTGATTCGTATTTTGGCCACGAAATTTTTGATGGCTTCCTTCAACACATGAACAGGAAGTTGAAAATTACTCTTTGAAAACATAATATAGCTTTGGGATTGGTTGTGGTAAAAGAAAAGTGGTAATATTTTTTTGCATTAATAAAATGGGATTTCGTTAGTGTCGAGAAAAAAAAACATGTCTAAATAGCTTACAGGGCTGCATTCCAAATTCTTCTCAGAAATGTGGTCAACACATTTCCAAATATCGGAAATGATGGTATGGACTGCCGGGACATCTTTTGGGTCTAACTGTTGAATGGCACTGGAATAATTGAAGAGTAAAACCGCAACAAAAGCAACCCAAGTTGTATCTGCGTTCATTGTAAATTCTGTTTTCTCTTAAAGAAGAAGTAAAAGTTCTTCGCGTTTGTATGTCAGAAATCAGCCACAAGACGTGCATTTATAACCAAAAGGTTGCAATTTAGCTGGCAACTGTGCAAGAATATATCGGCTCTAAGAAAATAGTGTTTCTTTTTAGGAGCATTATTATGCTGAAGGAAATGTTTGGCCCTGTAACTGTTTCACTGGCGTGAGCAGAAGTTTTTGAGGGGGGGGGGGGGTTCGTAAATATTTCTTATGTCAACCAAATTTTATTTTCCAGCTGTGCCACACGAGCATGAAGACCCATTTTGACAAAAACCTCTGCAGCAAGCGAATTTCTGAGAAAAAGTGCAAAAATTGCCAAGAAAAATGTGCGGCAACTGACCAAATAAATTCCGTTGACAAAACAAGGGGAGGTATCCTTTGGAAAAAAGTTGCTACCAGAATTTTCGAGGCGAGCCACCACGTGAAGGAGTTTTCTGGATCCTTGCCGAGGTTCCACCCTCTAAGGTTATTTTTATCCACCCAAAGTTGAACCCTCAGAATAATCCCGTTCCAGAAATACCCGATGTAAGTTCTCCAAACTACGATTTGGCTATAGCCGGCTTTTAAACACGTACATATCCCTACTAGACAGCTCCCTTTCCCATCTATGCCCAAAATGCTTCCTTGCACCCCGCACTACTTTCCACCTTTTCAATTGTCCTCGAAGCCCCTCCCCACTTATCCCTGCAGACCTGTGGCTTCAGCCGAAGGATGTCGCGAAATTCCTAGACCTTGAGACGGACGAGCCAAACCTGACCTTGGCTAAAGCAATAACAGGCGGAGCCGTCGCCTCTTCCTCGAAGTACTACGGACATGATTGTTGCTTTTGCATCCAAAGTTAAAAGCAAATTTTCTATTTCAGTAACTACAATGCATGTTTTCAATGAAATTTAGGACACATTTTAAAAGCTCATTGATCAAATTTTATTAACCGAGAGCAAGTAGTTTGCGCCATCTCTGAAAAGAAAATGATTTGCTGGTTTCAACGACTTGATTGTTAATTTGGAGACCTCATAAAAATTGTTTTTTTTTTGGTCGGCTGCAAAAAGGTATTTCAATCGCGTCATTTGTACAACTTCAAAAGGTTATAAATAGAAATGGAACCTTTAAAAGTTCAGTTAAGTTAATGTGGTAAGCTCAGTTCCAAATTATCTCGTTCTTTTATGTTAAAGTCATGGAAAAAAGAAGTTTTTTTTTGTTTTAAACAACTTCTTGTAATCAAGATTGCTAATAAACGAATATTTTTCTTCACGTTTTTGACATTTTTAGCTTGTCTCAGCAACTATTTAAGATGCAAAGTTGAAAATATCACTTTCGAAGCTTTTGGAAAGGATCTGAGAAAAAAGTTGAAAAATCTTATTTTGGAAAACGCCAGCTTCGTCAGTCGTTGGAAATATAATTCAGACATGAAAAACGAAGAATTTTTGAATCCATTCATTAACACTTTTTAGCTAATTACATGGATGTTTCAACAACAAGAACACTTCTCTTATGAGTTATGATTAAGTGGTTAAATAAACTCCTCAAAACAAAGTTGTTCAAATTTTAATTCAATCAAATTCCCGTGACTAGATCCATCAGCCATCTAAGCTTCATCCCTGTATCTTGAATTGTTGAGGAGAAAATGTGGGAAAGGTGAAGCAATTATTCCATCATTTGCTCGGCTGAAAATAATAAGATGCATTTTCTTGGTCCCGTGACAGTACACTTTTCGCTTATAAAAAATTTAACCAGAATGCTAAATGAAATCTTTACTTTCAAAAAGTTTTCTAATTGCTTCTTGAAAAGTTTATTAAGATAATTCAAGGAATTGGAAAGATGATGCGAAAAAGAAGCACCGATAGGTACAAGTCGAAAGCGGAATTCGTTTTCGAAATGAGAGCCGTATTGAGGTGCCCTTCTCTCATCCTAAAGATCGGTTGGTCTCCGCCTCTCCTTCAGAAGGTCGCTGGCATCTGCTCTCATTTAAAAGGTTACTGGAAAGCTAACGGCTAATAAGTATTACAGGAAGTTTCGACCACAGTTAATTTTCAACTTCGTCTTTTTGTGCATAATTTGAGGAGAAGAACTAAAAGTTAATTTGGAACATTAATAATGGCCTCGTTTAGCAATTTGCAAAATTAATAATAAAGACGAAAAATTTTAAGATTTCACTTTTTGAAGAAGTCATTTTATTGCTACCGTTGATTCCGCTAAATAGAGCTAAAAAACCGGTTTTTGACCGCTAAAACCTTCGCACGAAAATTATTAAAATGATGGAATGTAATTTACAAATAACCGTCAGGTTGGGCCGAGAAAAACCAATGAAAAATTCGAAAAAAATTTCTGGATGTCGATAAAAAAAATGTCTGAAATTGAATTATTAGTTTACGTTGCAGTTCAATTCGTGCAGCCCCGCCCAAAACATCAAAAAATGAGCAAAAAAAAATTGTTTTAAAGATATCTCTGAATTTTATTTGTTTGCAGACCTATATAAAAAGAAGATAAATGACGTTGCCGATTTCTCCCTGGAAGGTCACGTCGGTAAAGATACTAAAATTTTGTTCTAAACATAACTGAATCTGTAGTTAATTAATACTTTTGTGTTGTTTTTACCTGCAGATGTCTGAACAAATAGGACTTCGGGAAAAAGTTTAATTTGAGATGAAAATGTAGTAAGTGAACAATGAAACGAGTCATCTGACAGGATTTCAAACTTATTTCAAGATATTGTCCTTAACTAATTTTTACTTTTTGAAAAATAATTCTCTTTTGAGGGGATTTCATGCGCTGCATTGTTACTATTAACTCAATAAACAGCGTGGAAAAATAAGAGCTTATTTCACGTGTTTAATTTTCAGGAACAATGGTTAAGCAGGAAGCCTGTACTTTTAGTTTGCTAAAAATACCTGCCGGTAAGGGCAAGAAATACGCCAGAACAGATGGAAAAATTGCATACTTTCTCAACAAAAAATGCGAGACTCACTTCAAACTAAAGAGAAATCCTCGGTTGTTCCGATGGGGTGCAGTTTACAGACGGAAGCGAGAGAAGCAGCAGAAGGATACCAAGAAGGCCAAGAAAATAGTTGTGAAGTCGTCGGTACTGACGAGAGGAATCGCGGGAATCACGATGGACGAACTGCTCAAGAAGAAAAACGAGAAGCCAGAGGTTATGTTTTGAAATGATGTTTGGGCCAAATTTTACTTACCGGATTTCCAAACAACACATACATTTTCTTGTTGCTTTTTAATTGATCATTCAGAATCCTGCTTCAAAAACGGCTAAGATTAAAAAATGAAAAAAATGAACTATTATTTTTCGAAAGCCTAAAGTATGCGTTTATATGAACTTTTTATGAAACTACCTGGTGCATGACAGCGCGGAGCGTCAATATGTGAGAATATTGTTCAACGCCAGGGCACTTGGAGAGAATTTTTACAAAAAATGTCATTAATAAACCTTGCACAGAGTACGTTTACTCTTTGTTTTTGCTTGCAATTTCAATTATTAGCTTTTTTACACTAGCCAGCTTGCGAGTGTAAGGTGTTTGTACGAACCTTATTTTGTTTTACCTAAGTCGCAAATAAAAGTGTTCAATAAAATTGTTCACTTACTTGGTGGCTTTTTTGCTATAATCACGATCTGTAGCATTGAGGAAATTTAATAGCATCTGTTCTCTGCTTTATTTGTGGACAGAGTTTGTGGTTTATTTAAAGTCCTTGGCTGAGTGATTAGTGCGTGAGACTCATCATATCCAGGTCGCAGATCGAATCCGCGCAGATCGAGATTTTACTAATTCGAGGCTTATTTCTGCTTCTACTTATATCTTTCAATAGAGCTGCTTTTTGTCGTGTTCTCTGTGTGAGAATGTTATTGTTCCGTCCATATACGAAATGAGAAAGAACTATGGCGCAGGGTGTTTTTGTTCTCGCTGACTTTGGTGACCTCAAGAAAAAGATTGTTGGGATTCAAGTGTGTTATCATATAGCACTATTGGTCGTGATTCCAATACCAAAAATGTCTGTCAAAATAATTGCTTTTCAATTTTTAGGCCAATTTCGCCTCAAAATTTGTGACACTCAACCCCAAATTGATGTTACAAAATTCAGTTCTACTATAATTTTTACGCAAGTTCAGCAATAGTTATTATTGTTCATCTTGTTTTTCACATCTAATTCAATTGCTCTTGAATTAGATATGTTCGACATTCGTAGTAAAATAAGGAAATTGGACAATAGTTTTTGAAGAAAACTGACTAGCAATAAATCTAAAAAACTTTTTTTTCTTTTTTGAAGCGTTTGATTCCCAAAATGGTGCCAAAAACTCAGATTTCCCGGCTTAAATTAGGCATAAATAAGCCATATAAGCCTGCTCGCTCGCTTTATGCGCTCGAATTTTAAAAATTAAAAATTACAAATCGGTTTTTCTCGGCACTATGACAATTTTTTTGAAATTTTTAAATATCGTTCGAATCACGTTTGAAAAGGCTTTAATATGACATAACACTCGACCCATTCCGATGTTTATTTGGGAATTTTGATTTCTCGTGGAACCAAAAAAAGAAGAACTAAAACACACCCGAATACAAAGTTCCTCCCCATTTTCAATAGTCGGGAAAAAAAGAAAAAACTAAAACACACGAGTACAAAGCTCCTCCTCATTTTCAATGGACGGAACAACCATGAAATATTTCTTTTTAAAAATGAGTTTTTTCTTTATTTGAATATTTTTTCAACTTGGCTTAAAGTGCTACTTGGCTTAAATATGATTGACTGGCGCTCTTGACATGCTTAGGATATCGAAAAGTAGTTAGTTTCCGGTATCCGGTAAGTTGAAATCCACTGATGTGTTTATATCAGTGAATATCATATCATGAGTATTACTTGAAAGGATCGGGTTTCTAAATTTTATTCATATTTTATTTTAAATATGCTTTGGTTTTTTTAGGTGAGAAAAGCGAAACAGGAGGCAGCGATTAGAGCGCTGAAAGCGAAGAAACGAGAAGTAGCCGAAAAGAACAAGGTCGAAAAGGCTCAAGTGAAAGCAACTCAACCGAAGCCGGCTAAGAAGCAACAGAAAATCCAGAATCCTCAGAAGCCCAAACAACAGGGCAAATCCCGATAAGCAACTGGTTAATTGATTGAATCAAGTTGATCCCTAGTTTGTTGTAATTCACACAACTTTTAAGCTCAAGATATGTCAGATCTTGAAATAATAAAAAAAAAAATGGCAGAAACTGATTGAGACTTTTGTTGAAAGCTATAAACGTTGATCGGGCAAATAATCGTAGGCATCGAAGTCCAAGTTTTTGAAGAAGCTTGAAAGTAGTTTGAGTTATAAATTTGTTGTTTTTTCCAATTGAAAAAATGAGCTTTGATTATATTGGATTCAATGATGCAATTTGATGCTAAGTTTGAATATTGGTTATTGCAATAGAAATAAATTCAAGAAATCTTAACTGAGAAGTCTTCTGCAAAAGCGGACAGTTAGGCTAGATTTACTTAATTAGGCAGCCTCTTTTACTGCGATTCAAAGATAAAAATTCGATTTGCAGGTAGCAGACATGATTCACGTTAGTTGCTTTCTACCCTATGTTATTTTCAAATGGTTTTTGACCAATTCTTACTATTAATGAATACTGTAAATTTTCACTAATTTAGTTCGTCTGGGTTATTAAAGGTTTTCCTTCAGGAAACTATCTGAAGATTGTTGAAGCTGTTTTTTTATTTTGGCAATTTGACTTTTTTCAAATTCAATTCAAATCAGGAAACAAATATGGATCGTGAAAATAGGTTTTTTCTGGTCCACTGAGTTCATTAATACTTTTCCAACTCAGTGTTGGTTGGCTTGTTAAATATATAAATAAATTGCCCTGTGATATTTTTTTTTCTCATTTTTGGTCGTTTGAATCTTGTCCATTTGGGTTGGGTCAGTATAGGGTATTTTATTTCGGCGAGCGGACTGTAAGCGTGACTGTGTTATACTGGTATCCACGTTTCCGTACAAAGTCAAAAAATTACAAATTAGGACTCAAATTTTGATCTAAATATGGCTTCATGAATTTAGCGTGGGCATATACGCTTAAGTACCAGGCTGCTTTGCGAAATGTCGGGATTGAATTTCTGATATCGGCGAAGTCATTGCCTTTCGAAAGATTTTTCCCTAGTCGAATCATTTGGTAGCTTCTATTTGAGAACATTTTTTTGGCTGTGCCAATTGCACGTGGAAGTAGTGCTTCACATAAGAATCCATGCTCCAAACAAAAATTAAATTGAGGCAAGTATGACGTTTGAGTAGAATTAAGTTGAATCACTTTTTGTTTGACTTTTTTCCATTTTTTTGTCACATGAGTATGCAAAAATTTCATAGAAATAATTTTTTTTTGGCAGTCTTAAAATGTTCGCTTAATTTTTAAGTGCTGAGTCGCAAGATCAGTTCTTCTAAATTGGTGGAAGTTTCAGTGCAATATAATTTATAGTTGATTTATCATTATCTTGTTAAGAGTAATGGACGTAGTGATGACTCTTATAAAGGTCTTGGTTTTTTTTTGTATTTTTTTTCAGGAAAAAGTCTTGAATGCTCTAATAACTACAGATGTGCATTTATATTAATGCATTTATGAATGGAATTAGGTATATATGCACTTTTTGAGTTCAATTGAAATTAATCTGCTAAAAGTTACCTAAATAGCACTCCAAATACGAACGTGGAAATGGCGCGAAAAAACGTGAACGATTTTTGTTTTCGAAATTGGATTTTAATTGTTAGCTTTCCAGCGAAATAAAAATTTTACCTATTGATCCAGTTTTCTCAAGTTAGTTCAATGTTATTACACTTGCGAAGCAAAATACGAACCTAAGTCGCAAATGTATATTGTTGCTACTTAAAGCAACAATATCTGCTGCATCGAATTGGCAATACATCGTTGCACCTATACAGCTTTTTGATAACATGTGCTTTGACATTCGAATAGTTATATGTTTACACAGTTGATGCATTTAAAATTCATCAAGTTAACCGAAGAAAGCTATTTGTTTCAAACAACATAACAATAATAAAATCTCGATTTCAGAAATCTTCTAACTCAATATGTCTAAAGCAAGTTTTTGAAATGCATAATTTATACATAATTTGGCTTATGATTTGCGATTTAATACATGCAAAATTGTGGTTCTTGGTATTTGGTGCTACTTGGGCTGCATCGAATTGGCAGATTATTAACATATGTAGCTGCGTTTTTGATGGCCAGTTTTTGGGGATTTTAAGCATCCCTGGCTGAATGGTTAGTGCGTGAGACTCAAATTTGCTAGGTCGCAGATTTTTGCTAAATCGAGTTTTTGCTAAGCCTCGAGTTTTTGCAAATTCGAGGCTTATTTCAACTTTTTCTCATTTGATAGAGCTGCTTTTTGGGCGTGTTCTCGCAAGTGTTTGCGAAGCGCAGCTTCGCTTCTGTGTCAGAAAAGTGCCAAAATTGTTCTAGAAATTGAAAGAGCTTAATGGGCATCTATTTTTTTCTTTGAAATTCGAAAGTTGAGATTTTTCAACAAATTCAGTATTTTTTTTTCTGTTTATTTGCGTTCATTACTCTTTTCGAACTGTCAGTGGGCTAAGTTTGTTTGTTATTTTCTGAGTTGCTTGTTTTGGCTTATTTTGCATATTTTTCATAAAATACATCATCAGAATATCGCTGCTTTCATTTATCTGAAAAATCATTGCAACAGTGGTAATTTTTGAGCCAAATTTAATTGAGAATTTTTAAAAAGCATGAAAAATGCTCGAAGATCAGAGGTGTAACCGTCATAGCGTTACCGACAGCTAGCGAAAAGTGCTTCGAGAACTAGCTACGCAAGCGGTAAAAATTTGACCGGTTTTTTAGCATAAAAAGTTTAATTTAGGTATTTTAGCAGACTTTGAGTGATAGCTTTGTGGAGGAAGCTAAAATTGACGCATAATTGATTGACTGAAGTAAAATGGTACGTAATCTCGGGTTGAGCGTCCCTAACTAAGACAATTATCTCATGGTTTGTCGACAAAGTTGTAATCGAAAAAAACTAGTTTAACGACAGCAAACACTGATTCACGCGCAGTAATCCTCTCGTGTCCGATGTAAGCGCAACGGATCAAGCATATTCTGCTGGCCAATGCCGCGTTTGAGTATAGCGTTCTGACTGTTTAATTGTTTTTGATTCTGCTAAAAAACCGGTCTGCTAAATAACCTAGCCTCAGCTAGAGCGTGGTGAGTTCAGATAAGCGAAAAGCGATTGAACGCTTAGCGGTTTTTTTTATAAGCGATCACACTTGTGAATAAGATTATACGATTATACTATGAATAATTTTTTTTCAACCCAAGTCACAATTAAAAGTGCTCCTTTGGTGGCATTTTTGGTATATTTCCAATCACATGCAATTTAATAGCGTCTGTTGCTGCTTTGTTATGACTAGTGTTAGTTTATTTTTCAGTGACCATGGCGCAGTTGCGAGGACGTGAGACTCCTAATCTACGGTTCGGGGATTCAAATCCGGGACCTTGAAATAGTTTCAATTTATTTGCTGTCAAACTTGCTCATATTATTGACAATTTAATGGCAGCTATAGCTGTTTTATTGGTAGCCAAACATGCGAAGTTGTGAGACTCTAATCTGTAGTCTAGAGCTACTTTTTTGTGGGTTTCTCGCATGTGTTGCGAAGTGAGCTTAGCTTCTGAATTTTACATTTATAATTTGGTAAATAACATTTCATGTTCTGATAATTGAAAATACGAATTTGTCTTCAAAAAGGAGTTGCCACTTGCACAGTTACTAAATTAGTTTCGTAAATTTAGCTTGCCTTTTTTGAAATTGAGAAATAGAGCTTGGCAGTTGACATCGTCTAATTTCAGTTTAATTAATTTTGAATGTTTCTAGATTAAAATGGCTGCAACTGCACCGCTAAGCGAAATCATTACATTCCTGGAGAGCAGCAAGAAATCCAAAAATTGTTGTCCCATTTCTTGGAAACCAAAGTTCATCGACCTGGTTTCTCTCACGTCGAAAGAGTTATCATCAATCGACGAAAAACTTTTTGCAAATTTTATCGAGTTCACTCATCGCAACTGGCCATTTGGAGATGCAAATCGAAACGCAGAAAATCCAGTCGATGTTCTGGATTTTTATGGCAAGTCTGGCGTAACACAATCTGGAGATTTGACCTACACTTGTCTAAGAGTGATGATTTTTGATTTACTCGTTAACTGGAGTAGCTGTGATAAAATTGTAGCCATGCTCGGAAAAGTGAAGTTTTTCGATAAATTTCCAGCGTGGTTGAAGCAATTGATGCCCAATGTAGACTTCGCGAAACCTAGTAAGTTCATTCAAGATCCGGAGTACCAAATCATTGCTGAAATCACACATTGTATAATGAAACTAGCTGTGAATACTATGGGAAATAAAACCATAGGTAAGCATGTATTTTTTCTATGTGCTTCAACTATGGGTAGTTTGTATAAACCAGACGTTGCAACAGACCGAAGTACAGAGCATGTAAATGACAGATTCGCAGAAGTGTTTGGCGCTTTTTACAATGATGGGTTACACCATGCGAGCGATGATTTGGCGCTTAAGTTAATGTCTAATGGAACTAGCGCCAAGCTGCGAGAGTTGACAATGCATGGTCAAAGACATGCTTGTCTAGCTACAGTCTATTTCGACTATACTTTTATGGATGCATATGCGAAAACACAAGGCAGCGATGAGCTTAATCAGTTGGCGCAAAGTGAAAAACAAGGTATGCGGTTGAAAGAAGAGGCAAACGCCTTGTACAAAAATAATCAAGTGTCTAAAGCTTACGAGTGCTACAAAAAGTCGATCGAAATTTGGCCATATGATGCTAAAACGTGGGGTAATTTGGCTCTCTGTTGTGAAAAATTAAGTCGAGTCAAAGAGGGTAAAGAAGCCGCTTTTGCTTGTTTGCAGAAAGATCCAAATTGGTGGAAGTCTTGGTGTCGTGTTGGGGATGTTTTGAGCAAGAAAAAGACTTCGCGACTTGCTTATTTAGCATACACAGTAGCTGACAATCTGAATGCGTCAAACGAAATATCTGAAAGATTGGCCGACTTCAACCATGAAGCTCCCATTGATTTAGAAACAGAGTTCTATGTTAAAAATCCACTTCATTTTTTCCTAAATGAGTCACAAGATAAATGCGCTTTATTTATTGGATACCAAGTTCTGAAAAGCGACTCAAAAAAGATCAAAAGTTTCGACGAATATATTGGCGAAACGATTTCGATTTCAGCTGCGAGCTTCGGTAGTAAAACTTCCCAATTCGGTATTCAAGAATGGGTCTTTAATGTGTACTCGCACAAGGAAAAGAAACCAATTTCTGTCGGAAACTGTATAGCAAAACCGAACGGCGCTGATCTGAAAAACGCTTTCTTCCGAGCTCTTTGTTTTCCTGTAAATGGTAGACAATGTATTCCAACGGTTTTATTAGTATCTCATAGATTTGCAGCCCATTACAGTTACTTAGTGGAGGCGGTGAGCCCATTCAAAATATTCGTGCGCCTGGAAACGAAAAAAGAAGCTGATTTTGCAAGTATCAAGTTCAATACTAAC